AGGATTATTGTATGAAGATAAATATGAAGAAAATACCAAGGATAATAAAAAGGTCGCAAAATCATTAACAGAATTCGAGGAAATAATAAGAAATTAAAAAAATAAGGAAACAGGAACAGATGAAATACGAAATGAAATGATAAAGTATGACTGTAGAAACTAATTATATAAATATGGGGAAAAAGAATTCCAGCAGAATAAAAAACAGGAATACCAAAACTAAATAAAGAAGACCCAACAGTCTTTGATAACTATAAGAGAATATCACTTACAGCTGTAATTTAATTACTAATGAAGATTTAAATAAGAGTCTAAGACATCTAATCTTTGGTAAATGGAAGAGATACACTCAAATGATCCTATCTCCAAAAATAATTGTTGTGAATTACATTTTTAGTATATTTTGTATGCTGATCTTGGCAGATATGTGGTGAGGCTTCCTTTTAAAAATAATGTCAAATATTTTGTCGCGGTCAAAGGAAATAGGTATAAAAAGATGTTAAAGCATACAAAATAGATTTTTAAAAGAATATATTCAATTAGGTCACACGTCTTTAATAAATTAAGATGATGTTATGTTATGTTGGGAATTGGGTGTTAATACACTGCAATCTAAAAGATCTATTGTGTCCCCTTCTGTCGCCAATGCACCAAGGAAATGTCTCAATGCCTATAACGACCCTTCCAATTCTATTTTCTCAATATCCTCCTAGATATAGTACCCTTGGATTCTGGAGTGCTACACATTCAATTAGGATGTGAATGGAGGTTTAGTCCTCCTCTAGACAGACTCTGCACTCACTATCCTCCACTACTCTTAGTTTATTTAGGTGTCCTTTTAGTCGGCAATGCCCGGTAAGGATCCCTGTTACAATACGTAGCCTGTTCTTGCTCAGACAGATACAGGCTCCCGATCTTTTCTGGTTATATTCACCCAGAAGTATCTTGGCCTGTCTTAGCCCCAAGAGATTGTTTCAATTATCGGTTCTTCTACTGCCCAATTCTTTTTTAATCTCTCCTAATATTATGTTAGTTACTGATACCGCAGAACGGCTCAGGTCCTACAAAGGGTGTTTAGTCCCTTTCCTTGCAAGACTATCTGCAATCTCGTTACCCTGTACCCCGTTATGTCCCGGGACCCAAGTAAGAGTAACTCTATTTTCCTCACTTAGCTCATTCAATTGTTCTAGACATCTCTAGACCATTTTTGAGCTGATTACGTAAGAGCTCAGTGCTTTGCTGGCTGCTTGACTATCGGACATGATGATAATCTCTTGTTTATGATGGTTTCTCTCGATTTTGAACTGGATATACTTGTCGATGGCGTGAATTTTCGCCTGGAAGATGCTTGGGTATTTTCCCAAGCTTTCGGAGTGCTTGGCTATCGGCCCATACACTCCTGTTCTAGTTCCTTCTATGGTTTTGGAACCGTGCGTCCGTATACTACTGAATAGCACGTCTTTCGGTTGCAAGCGCGACGAATTCTTGGCTCCATTCTTTCTTGCAGCGCAGCTCTGTGGTTTTAAAGTTTTTCACAAAACTGTACTTCTGTAGAATTTCATCCTAGGGCATGTCCCAGGTATTTTTAGTACTGAAGCAAGTAGACTTTCGTCTGATTACTCCGTTCCTGATCATTCTATATCGTGTCCTGTTTGCCACATTCTCTATCATCAAATATAGAGGGGTGAGGTTTAAGATCACCTCCATTGCGGCCGTAGGTTAGGTTCTCATTGCACCAGTAATGCAAACACAGGCTAGTCTTTGTACTTTTGAGATATTAGCTCTCGTAGTAGCTAAACTAGTTCTATTACTCCAGGCTATAAACCCGTAAGTGATGATTGGTCTCACTATTGCAGTATACATCCATCGCAGTATGTCTGGGTTACATCCCCATCGTTTGCCTGCAATATTTCTTCATACAGGGCTTTTGTGGCCTTACTTTCTACTTCGTTCTCATGTGTGTTCCAGAAAAGTTTGTTGTACAGGGTTAGGCCTAGATATTTGACTTCATTTTTCCATTCTATATTTATCCCGTCTAATTTAACGGTTTTGAGATTAAGTTTTCTTTTCCTTGAAAAGGCTACTAGTGTTGTTTTTGTAGGGTTTATACTAAGTCTCACTTCACAGCACCATCTTTTGATATGTTCTAGTCCTCGTTGGACTATATCACACAGAATATTACTAAACTTGCCTCTAGCAAATATGACTATATCGTCGGCATAACCTTGACAGGGTATTCCGAGGTCAGTCATTCTGCATAGAAGTTCGTCTACGGTTAGGCTCCACATTAGTGGGGATAGAACTCCTCCTTGTGGACATCCTCTGATTGTGCAGATGGAGATGGTGTTCTGCCCTATCTGTGTCTCTAGAATTCTCGTAGATAACAGCTGAGCCATCCGTCTGGATGTGATATTATCTACTCCTCTGTATGCAAGTGCTATTTTTACAGATTCGTGTGGCGTGTTGTCAAAAGCTCCTTCTATATCTAGGAAGGCACACACGACCATTTCTTTGTTTGTCAATGCATCCTGGATTATGTCAGTCAACTGGAAGTTTCTGTAGATCTTCCTGCTCGGTACGCGTATTGGCTGTGGTGGAGTGGCACCCTCTCCAGGACTTCCGCTCTGATACAATTATCAACTTTAATGCAAAGGATGTGAGGCTGATTGGTCGGAAGGAATTATGATGTGTGGTATCCTTTTTCCCTACTTTTAGAATAAAGGTGACTCTGGCCCTTCGCCATGCTTCTGGTATATATCCCAGCTCCAGACTACTTCGGAATAGCCGAATTATGTGTGGTTCAAAAGTGTTTTGGGCCCACTTTAACCGATTTCTGCTGCATATGTGTTTGGTCACTACAGCGGCCTCTCTTGGGGGGCCTGCTTACCTTAGTTGTGTCCCTTATTAGAAAAGGTGATTACATTTCACATCACGCAGTTTGTAGAACTGAAAGCATTATTACAAAATATGGAGCAGTCTTTGATGCTTCTGCTCAGTCAATATTTAAGGTGCTATAATTTAAAGAGAAATTATTGAAACTATTAGGAATTTTAGATTTTAGATTTCATGTAGAATATTCATAAGCAAGACAAAAATTATTAAAAATTTATGTCGCGAAGTTGTAGTAGTCAGCAAATTCAAACACGATGCTTTAAACACTATTAATAATTATGGAACCACTTCTGCTCCAGGTGCATTAGAAAAACGAACAAACTTTTCCGTAGCAGCACTTATCTTAAATGATTTTAATGTTATTTTCTGCAGGGAAGACATAATAAATATGATGCAATGATGCTTTACAAGGATATCACACATTTTAAATAACGATTTTTTGACAATAATACAGAAATAAACATATTGCGATAATTCTTTATAAGGATAACACACATTTTAAATAACGATTTTTTGGCAAGAATATAGAAATAAAACAAAAAAAGTAAAATTAAACAAAGAAAAAAATAAGGCTGCAAATTATTATTAGAATTATAAGGATATAATAAGGACATAATGAAGAGTAGAAACATAAGAAAAAAGAGAAAACTGAGAGTGTTTAAAACATCCATAATAGTAATATTATATACAGGAGAGACAATGTGCCTAAGCAATAGACAAATATAGACTGAAAACTTTCGAAATAACAATAATTAGGAGAATGTTACTATATTAGAAGGATGAGATATAGTTAAAATAATAAAGACAAAGAGAATACAATAAAACATAATGAAATGGCTGGCAACCACAGAATAACGACCTAGGCGACGAACGAAATTTTTTTGGGAAAACCAAATAAATAATAATGGACATATACAAGATTAGGTTTGATAGATGGAAAGAGAAGATCATAAACAGGAAGTAATGGATAAAAATAGGTCGCAGGTTCCAATCCCGTCGGTGACAAATTCTCATTTAATTTAGGGCCAGTTTTTTCACCCCTGAGTAACGGTGAAAGTAACTACTTGCTGATTCAACTATAGGGCTATTGTTCATTAATCTATCAAGTAACTTTACTCAAGGTGAAAAGATCTGCCCTTAATGAATTAAACAAAATTTTAATATGTATAAGTAGGATTCCCCACTCGGCCATTCACTGTTGCGTTCTAATTAACAGTGCTGCTTTTAAAGTGCGAGGAAACAGTAACAAAGCCTGTAGGCGTGTACAATATTTAATGACTTTTGTAATGCACTTAGGTATCTATATTTTTTTGCAAAACTAAAAGTTGGACTATCCATTCTAGGTAGTGAAAACACTGCAAAAAAATTAAATCCACCAATCACAGTTCATATTTTGATCAACCGACTGCTATTATTTTTAAAATTTTAAATAGGTGACAATTCTGTCAAACTAATTGTCAGTATAATTTTTATTTATTGAGGTTAAACAAACATCGAAATGAGTTATTCTTGTGTATAGAATCGATAAATAATAGAATTTCTATTTTTGTTTCGTCTATAATTATAAATAATTTGTTAATTTAAATAAAACTATATAAAGTCAATTTAATTACGAGTATTAATGCAAAACAATTAACGCGTAGATGGTCATGTGTCAGCGTTCTTGCCTTCCATATGGAAGACTCGAGTTCGAATCTCAGATGGAGAAAAAAAATAAATATTTTTCTCTTTTTTTTTTTGATTATTTTATAACTTAGTAAAAATCATAAAATATTTTTAAATTAATTATTTTATCTTAATAACCTAAAATAATTTTTAATATTTGTAGATTTTCGTTAGTGGGTCATAGAAAAAATATACTGTACAACTCGAGTGGATTGTCCATATCCACTCTTGTTGCACAAACTACTATTTTAAAACATGCCATAATAGGCTAATTTTTAAAATAAATCATCCCTTTTTATATATTTTTTGAAAGATTTTTCATAATTACAATGATATAAGGTGTTAAGTGTTTTACGACATAAGAATCAAGCTCAACCTGGACAAACTGTTGATTGTCAAGTTAAAAAAATATAATATAAACAAAAAATTAAAATAGAACTTACCGTTTTAGCGCCTTGGAAAATCAGCACAAATCTGAAACAGAATAGAAACATTAAAATGCTATAAAAGTAAAAAAGCAGGAAAACCTATTGAGGAATAAGCTCGTATCGTCCAATTAGTTTACTTCCTACTTTATCAAAGTGTATCGAAAAGCTATTAATGAGCCAAATTAAAAGTGACTTGGATTTGCCGACAATTATACTACTTTACCAATTTAGGTATAGGGCACATCAATTAACGATACAATAGACACACAGAATAGTCAAAAACATCATAACAGAGATTTTTCAAAGTCCCTTTTACCATTTGCTAAAATCGTAACTATCAGAACGATACTTTCAAACAAAATAACTCTAGTTTTTTCAAATATTACCAAATAAAATCAGGAGTATCTCTAGGAAGTGCACTAGGTCCACTGATCTTCTTAATTTACACCACAGATTTACCAGTAACAAATACTACGACAAAATTTTCGGATAATACCGCCTTGTTATCAATAAACAGCAACTCAATGTTCGCTTCACAGAATTTACATCACTTGGACATTCTGAAAAACTCGCTTGGCAAATAGAAAATAATAAAAATTAATAAACCGAAATCAGTTTAAGTCACTTTTACTACAAAATATACAAAATGCCAACCGGTCTTCCTAAATAACACTTCAGTACCAGTGAAAACTATAGTGAAATACTTAAAACTTATTTGACAGAAACAGTTCAAAACTAAACGCCAGCAAACTAACTTAAAATTAAAAGAAATGTCATGGTTAGTGGACAGAAGATTCAAATTAACTATAGAAAATTTACAAATGTAATGTATCCTTAAACCCATATAAACATGGGAGTGCACAAAGCCAACAAATTTAAAAAATGTTCACAGATTACATTATAAGATACTTGAGGTATTTTTTAGCGAGTGTATGGTTTAAAATATTTTCGACTGTTTTAAACCGTTTAAATTTAAGCGATGCAACTATGACGTCGCGTACGAAATATTTTAAACCAAAGCTGGAATTTTTGAACCAGTCGGAGGCATATGGTTCAATAACGGTTGACACATTAGATATTCTGATTTTAGCTGTTGTATGTTGTTTTGCTCTGTTCCATCTTTGAACATTTTGATATATTTGACGTTTTGTTGATTTTTATTGATTTTTGATAACTTCATACATATATTATGTGATTCATATTCATACATTAACTGGTTATAATGTTATAATACAAATATGTATGGTCATCATAAACAGTTGGACGATGTGATCTACCTATAGGTTACTCTTGATTATGAAACAATAATTCAATTAAAATAAGGTTAAAGGATTACTTATCAGTTGTAGGTTTTTTGCAAAAATAATTACGTAGTTTGCTTCAGATTCTGAATTTGCCAGTAAATATTTAAAAGCAATTAAACGTTCTTTGGCAGTTGATGAACTTTGGAAAAGCCCAAAAAATCTACAGCAAATAATCGTTAGACAATCGCGTATCTGTTGGAGCTACGGAATAAATATGATTCCATGTTTATTGACAAGAAAAATACCAAAAATAAAATAATAACGTTTCAGATTGCAATGTACCTATTAAAAACACTTTTTACTTAAAATCGCTATCACCCATCTTCCTTCATCTGATTTAACAATCAATAAAAGAAAATATGATCGAAATCAGAATACCTAATTAAAAATTTTGTCATATGACAGCAGGTTATATTTTTAAAACACCCTATTTTTGCCATTTATTAATTCATGACGTCACTTTAAATATGGTTTAAAAAATATTTTAAACCAATGTGGTGGCTAAAAAACAGCTTTGATTCTATTATCTTCTATTATCAATGCACCCTGATATGTATCAAATTTCATAATACACAATGACCAGAACATTTCATTTGTCGCCGAAGAAAGAAAATAATTCTCGAAACTTCATTTCGACAGAATTGAAGAGCGGGAAAAAAACTTGATCCTAGAAATAATCAATCCCCCAGAGGCATAAAAATAAACAATACATAGAAGGATGTGGTCTACGGATCTAAGAGAAGAGTTGAACGTAATTTATCTCAAGATAACCGAATAATGTTGTTATTGGAGAATCGGAAATGGACTATTACGCTACTCATGTCATTTTACACTTTTACTTTAAATTTACTTATTACTCTGATCTATAAGTAGATTGTGAATGTGCATTAGTAAATAAAAAAATATTTGGAATATGTTTGTTAATTAATTATTTAAAATGTCGCAATTATATTTTTTATTTATACCTAATTTTCAATAAACATAAATTTTACAATCATATTTAATCATTGGAAATCGTAATATTTCCCCTAAAAAAAATCTAATAAATTAGTAATTTGACATGTAACGTGTGGAGGATGGGTTAACCCATGACACTTAGGCCTATTGTGGATCATCCTAAGAAGGTATGCACCTTCAAGCTCGTGAGCCAGCCTATAACCAGAAAATGCTTCTCTTATATCGGCCCATTCCCGCCGAACGTCGGACGTCGGGCAAAAGATAGAGGACTTGGCAATGACTAGTAAGAATGCCTGTGATCAGGCGCAGATTCTGTCTAGTCATAGTGAAGTATTTGTTTAGAACCGTTGGTGTAGATATGAATCGTACCTGCCACTTCCGGCTCTTCTATTTGTTCTCTTATAACTTTTTATTATGGATTATGGAAGGTATATCTCGGTAAGATGGAGTCAATGTTTGCTTAAAGCAGTGAGAGCGTATCTAGCGCCTGTTGTCAAAAGCGACGTCTCTTCTCATCAGATCTTACAGTAGGTTTTTTTCGGTGATTATATACATAGTTGTAAAACATTTTCAATTTTATAGCAAAGATTACACAATATTTTTCTTTTTTATTTATTGTTGTCTTGTACAAAATATAAAATAGTAATTATATTACTTATTTTTGATAACTAACAACGAATGAAATTGAAATTTACTAGTTCTACCTCAGGTTTACTTTCTTATTAAAAATATAACAGGCTTTTTTACTTTCTTTTCTACAAAAAGCCTTTCAAACATTGTTTTGGCACTCTGTTTACCGCGATGAAAGTCTGAATGTATTTTTCGTTTGATAAAAGATAAAATTAACTCAATATTTCTGACAGCCATCATTATTTGTTTTCTTTTTGTACACTATAAATTAACAAGCTCTGGAGTATTTTCTAGAACTATGCACAGTTTAGGGACATATTTTTCAGAGAGTTGAAACAGATATAACAACTATCATCCCCCATGATTTAGCCCATAAGCAATAACTTGTTAAAAATTAAAAGGTAAAAGAAATGAATCCCGAAATATATTGGCATTGAATATTTCAACAAATTAATTCTTTTAATTTTCTAGAGGAACCCAACCTGCTTAACCCTTTTTTTTGAAGTCGATCGCCCTCTACTTTTAACTGTCGTCCATTTATTGATGTATTTTGCGTGGGTCGTAACAACTAAACCCCGTTACATCGATTTAATGTAATTAAGGGTTGTAAGCTATTTACCTGATATTGGATGCATCGACAAAAACCTTTGATTCCATGTTATTGTGTCGATGTCATCAGCGAGTGTCGATTACAAAGGGCAGTGTTGAGGACGAAAAACAGTAATTATTAGCGATACATGCAAACGAACACTTACAAATTTGCATTCGATACTATCGAATTAGGCCCGATGCATTTGCCTATAATTTGTTTCGGTTAGGGAAAATTAGAGGTTGGTTTAGGAAGAAAAATGTTTGTGAGTGAGTTGATGCGTAGGAGTTTCTCTTGAAATGAAGAGATAACGGAGAAGTTATTCATTGAAAGTCATTTATATACATAGTTCGTAAACATACGGTTGCCTATGAGATCATGCCAATGAATACGTTACTAGTATACCTAGTTTAACATGGTACATAGGAAATGTATTGCATTTTAAAATCACTGATATATAAAGCACTAAAATTAAACTAAAAATTTTAAAAATAAATAGGTTTCTCAGTTATAAAAAAAAACAAAACTGCTACTCGATTGGAGCTTTCGCTCTAAAGTTATCGTGCCGGGGCCAGTGCACACACGCTCTATCGCTGCTCACTCGATTCATGATCGATACTATCTCAGTTTGACGCGTAGAGGATAATTTCCAGAACTTCTAGACTGAGCTTCTAGTCAGTATGATCTTTCTAGAGTGTTACAATAAGTAAGTTCCTTCGCCGTTCAAGCTAAGTTTCAATACAAATGTAAATAAATTCTTAAAATAAATTAGAAGTGTGAATTAATAGTTAAGTACTAAATAAATTAATTAGTACGTTATAAATAAATAATAAATAAAGTTTTAAAAAAATAAATTTTTAAATTAATCATTTGTTACGTTAGTATTAGAAGTGGAAGTGTAATTAAATAGTGGACAAAAACGGCTAAAAAACCAAGTGATTTAAAAGTGACAGAGTGAGGTCGGGAACTTGAAGATCGTGAGTTGGAGACGACAGAGAAAAAAGCAGATCTAGCAGAGCGGCTTAAAAAATATACTAGAAAGTGAAGGTTTGAATCCAGGAACATATCAATTTTCCGATGATCTTCTGCTATATTTTTATCAATTTCTTCCGATATAGATAGTAAAATGTCTTCAATGAAAATTTTTTCTGATGTTTTCTCTATAAAAAATTATATTTCCTCCCTAAAAAATAAAGTTTTTTTTTTTAATATTTCATTAGAAAATAAATTTTCGTATAATATTTCTTTCTTAGAAGAAAATGCGCCTTCTGATATATTTTCTGTAAAAAAAAGAAATCTGTTTTATGAAACTAAAGTTTCTTCTAATGTATATTTAATAAAAAATGAAATTTCTTCCGACTTGGAAAACAAACTGTCTTCTTTAAAAAATGAAATTTCTGCTGATGTGGAAAATAATATGATTTCCGATGAGGAGAAAATAATGTCTTCCGTTAAGAAAAAAATTAAAGAGATGCGAAAGTAAATCCCATCGCTTTGACCGTATGACCAATTATCATAACAGTTCAAAACCGCTGCGAGGGCAAACGAATGGTCTGAAGGAGAAAAG